ATTATAAGTACCCAAAGAAGCTATATATATAAAAAAACAGATACAAATAGCTGTTTTGCGAAATTGAGAGCAATTTTAAATCTGTTCAGTTTTTTTTGATACACCCTGTATATATATATATATATATATATATATCAGAGATATATATTGATAACAAATATCAGAGATATATACTGATAACAAGACTTTCTTACCATCTTATTAATAATTGCAGAACTCATGTCCAATAACGTTAATTCAACTCGTTTACATTGCTGGCCTTCCCAAATCGACGCACTAACTAAAAGTTTGAAAATAAAGTCTACTTCAGTTCTGACACATAATACATGAATGACATCACTAATACCTTACAAGAATTACATATTACTTGAGTACAACAGATGCAGAAGAATTGTTTCGTACCCATTTCTCCAGTAGGCGCGCCAGCCGTTACACCATTCAGAATTCCATTCTGTAAAATAAATGATGAACGAGTGTTCCAGTATAAACGCCTTGGGAGGGCGGGCAATGTTTCAGCTTTTAATTTCAACATCATTCTAAGAATTTCAGTAAGCTTTCCAAGTGAGACAATGCTGGTCAACCTGCTCAGAATGAGAAATTCGTTTCATATGTAGTGGTCTTGTATTTGGTGGCAGATACGAAAACTTGAGAGATCAAGATCAAGGCAAGAAGAACGAAAGCCAACACCACAGCTAGAAAGAGCGTCTCAGAATGCGTAAAACTGCAAAGATTGCTTGCTAAATGTTGTTAAATGAAGAATATATAGTCCTGTGAAGTTCGCAAATTTTGTATATATTTGTATTACGCGCGGTAAAAATAACCACTTTCGGCTCAAAAAATGTTTCCCGCGCCTAATGCAAATATATACAAAATTTGCGAACTTCACGGGGCTATATTTTCCTCATTTTACAACAATTCGCAACCAAACTTTACAATTTTACTCATTTTAAGATGCTCTTTCCAACTATGGCAATGGATTAAGTTCTTCTTGTCTAGATCAAAATTTAGTCTATACCTGGAGTCATCCATTTCACCATAATCGCATATGAAAACAGTGCTTCCCGTTCATTTTTTCCTCTCACCTTATCCCACTTAAAGGGATCTTCTTCGTCAAAATTAGATTTGACCGATTCATTATCACTATATGAAGAAGTTGACGAACTGGATCCATTGTTTTCAAAGAACTCTTCCTCGGTCCTCTCAGAGCGCTCGGCCTCAGTCCCCTCGCTGTGAGATTTCTCTGGATGTACGTCATCACGTTCACCTTCGTCATCGCTGACGTCAGTCGCACTCGGCTCAGCTGCCGGTGAGGTGCCTGGCAAATACAGCGAAGATTTCATGAAATATCCTAGTCAAACCTTGTTTCCTAGAAAAACTTTTACACGGTAAACAAGCAAATACAAAACTAGCAAATTACAAGATACTTCTTACGTTTTGGGCTTGGTACTTGCTTGACATTTTCAGAACTTGGTTTCTTTCTCACACGTTTTCTTATTCCATTTCGTTTCTCTTGCGTTGTTTCCTGGACAAGATCTTCAATTGAACTGTTCAGATGATTATATTGTTGTTGTGACTTGGATTTCTTTCGTCGTGACTTTCTATTTCAAGAAAAATATGTTTCGTCATCAGGGTCCTCTTGTTAAAATTTAGCCTGCTGTTTTAGTTTATGTATTTCTGCACGTCTGTTTATTCCAAAACTTCATACACGATCTCTGAAGAAATATTTCCAAATTTATAAACAAGTTATTGGAAAGTTTTCTTTGAATTTTAGGTTAACCCAGGGTCAAAGCTAACCCAGCTTTGAATAACTGGCCCCAGGGCGATTTGTACCAGGGAGGGATGATCGGTCACAAGGAAGTTGGATAGTGCGTCTGATATTTCGTCCGTCGGTACAAACGCGGCAAACAGACAGATCATCCGTTAAAAAGAACTTTGGTCATGTTCACACCGCACCGGGTAGCATTTCAAAGCGGCAAATCCGATACAGAATGTACAAATTTCAGAAGCTGAGGGAAACAGCAACTCTCCGTTGCAATTATTCCTCTGAAAATAGCGTTCCTATATATAAAAGGTACAGATATGTGTTTTTTCACGTCGCTAGGAAAGCTATCTGGTAGTGGTACAGTGTCAACGTATAGCCTATATCTTATTAAATGTGAATTGTATTTTCTAACCTTTGCCTCCTAGATCGCAAGGAGATACCATCAACATTTGATACAGTGGTAGAAACAACTTGAGTATGTAGAATACCTAACACGACCATGATCTACAATCACAACAACATTGTTGTCTGGGTAATAATAGCATGTTGCAAGAGCAGGAGACTTTTTGAAAGAAGTAGACGAATATATGGTACCGAAGGTACCTCACCAAGGGGGATTGAGGAGGGGGGATTTAGGGGGCGTCTCCCCGTGAAGATTTTTTTGGAAAGTAGTTTTGTAGATTTTGTCGTTTCCAAATAGTTAGCGAAGAAATCATGAAAAATTTATCAGCATGAAATCTTAAATTTATGTCATATTTTGGGTTATAATCTGGAGAAAAAGCCAGAGATTGCAGTCGAACAATGCATTGTTAGGCATTATAATATAGCATTTGTAAATTGTGAACGCTGATTGGCCAAGAGCCGTATTGATATAACTCAATGTCAACACGGAAACGTCGGAAAATTTCTTTCTTTATATTTCTTTGTGTTATATTATAAAACAAATATAAAACATTTTTTCCGTATTGATATATAGTTATATCAACACTCGTGGAAATTGGGAAAACTCTAAACAATTTCTCGTTTTCCCAATTTCCACTCGTGTTGATATAACTGTATATCAACACGGAAAATATTTTATATTTGCTAATTATTACACACTCCTTACCAGCACTGGTCCAAATGCCTCTGAGGGATACACCAGCTAAAAATAAACAAATATTGCTTGGTTTCAGTATTGTGTTGTAACACAACAGCAGATTGTGGACAACTGCAGAAATGTCGACACTTCTGTGAAGGAGATTAGACAACAGTCACAACACAGGAATCGGTTTACTTGGGGGGGGGGGGGGGGGGGGGCTAGAGGGGATGGGGGTGCAAGGAGCAGAGGGGGCAAGGTGCTATTTTTCATGATAAAGCAAAACATATTAGAGACAAAATGAGATACAGTAATTTGAGTAAGAACATGATGATAAGTGAACTGTGAACAACAATTACAATTCAAATACAGTAGTCAAGCAAGACTTTGCAGTAGTCAAGCAAAATCGGCACCAGAGCTAGCAAAGCACCCCCTCCCAGATCATGCTGGACCATCCCTGCGACAACATCTCTTAATTCTTTATACAGACCTTCATTTCATCAGAATATTTGGTATAGACTACAACAGCCACAAGCTGGGTGATATATAACAACAGAAAGAAAATCCAGATAGGAAATGGAATCACATTTCTCCACCTAAAAATTAGGAAATAATGATTGTGGTTTACAACTTGCAGCTGCTGGAGTGCAGTGTCAGGGGGCAGTGTCAAGGGAGGGTGCAGTGTCAGGGGAGGGGGCATGTGGAAACTTTGTCAAAGAGAGGAAATTGAGGGTGGAGATTATGAGAGGTGGGGGACTGGAGACTGAAACCTTATTCCCAGGGTGTGCAGACTCCACCAGCGGGGGGGGGGGACTTCGGGTAAAGATTGTGAAGATGGAGGACTAGAGCTGAGAGAGACCTGGAAGGTGTGGGGGGTATGTAAAGAATACTGGAGGGAAACTGAGCAATGAGCAGGAGACTGGTGGATGTGGAAACTTTGTCGGGGGTGAAGACTGTGGGAGGTGGGAGATTGTGGGAGGTGGGGAACTGTGGGAGGTGGGGAACTGTGGGAGGTGGGGAACTGTGGGAGGTGGGGAACTGTGGGAGGTGGGG